GGCTTGAACTGGAAGGAGCGTATGCGTCCCCCACCGAGGGAGCTTGCCATTCTAGCATCTATATTGCTCATTTTAGTTTCTTGGAGACAGACGATGTGGGGTTTAGCATCTTGGAGGGTCTCTTTTACCGTCGCTCTTCTGGCTGGTCTATTCAAACCGCAGACGTTCCAAGAGAGGATGTCGATGACCGGATATGTCATGAGAAACAATCTTTCTCAAGGGGGGAGTTGTGCACAGTGCATAAAACTAGGTTGAGATTGTAGGGAGACATCTTTACAGGCCTCTGCTTTGGCTGTATACAGCCCATTGAGTTGTTTTGTGGCGTTTTCACCCGGGTTATCAGCCTTGGCGTCGCTGGGTGGCCCAAGAAGTGGCGGTCCAGATGGGGGCAGCAAGCAGTTTGTTGTTGGGCCTTGCTGGTGCACTGGGTCGGCCCAAGCAGGATGGTCACATGGAGATGGGCCAGAGCAACTTGTCGTTGGGCCAACAATTCGACGGTGGATGATGTTGCGGTGTCGTGCGTCGCCGGTCGCCGCGCCCGCCACGGCGCCCATCGCGTTGCCTTTTAGATGTTGCGTTGTCGACCAAAACTGGCCTGGGAGGGCTTGGGTTCATGTCGCCGTCTGGCGGTGTGCACACCATGACGAAGAGGGTGAGGAACGTCGGCGCCGCGTCGGCGGCGTACATGGTGATCGTCGCCGAGCCCCACGGCGAGTCGGTGGCTGTGCGGCCGAGCTGGCTGGAGATCATGGCGGTCGGGGAGGCGTTGGAGTTCGCCGTCACGTTCTGAGCCAAGGAAGGGTCGTTCCTGCCCAGGGAGTGCGTGTTCGGGTTCGGGCGGCTGGTCTTGTTTGCGTCGCTCTTGTCTCTCGCGTTCGATGCCGGTGGGGCAAGCCGGCCAGCGAGCTTCGCTATCATCGTCGTCGTGGCGGCCTTGTGCTAACACTGACATCGTTATGGTGCGGAATTGCGGCACCGAGAGGGGAGAGGTCGGTTCGCGAAATTGCTGCGAATAGATAGTCCGGCCTTGGAAGGTAATGTCGCTGCTCATGATCATGCCAATGGCGCGCGTCCAGGTCTCACGCTGATGCGAACGAGGAAAGTAAAATGGATACGTGGAGATGGTCTACTCCAGTCGCCGGGGCGCGGGACAGAGCTCTATCACGCCGCGGCTATCTCCTCCTGGCAGCCGATGTCGGAGGGACCCAGGTACATTGCCAGGGCTGAGTCCGCTGCCTTCATGTCTTCCTTGTCGAGGCCGAACAGCTGCGCGAGGGCATCAATGGCGTCTTGCGGCAGAGGCATGTTAAACATCGCCTTGAAGTCGGCGATCGCCTTCTCAGTGAGGGCCCCCTCTGGCGGTGCCAGTCCCATGCGTTGGCAGAGGTTGATCTGCGCCCACAGTGACATCGGCAGTCCAGCCAGCGGCTACTGCGCCAGCCTAGGGCTCCTCCTCCGCCCTTCTCCCAACGTAGCAGCAGCCACGGTCGGCATCTGAAGGTCGCCGGCGCGGTCAGCGAGCGAGTTCGGCATCTGCAGCTCGCCGGCGTGGTCGATCAGCACCTGCGGCGTGGAGAGGATTGCAGGCGTGGAGAGGATTGCAGGGGGGAGCTCTTTGAACAGGGCACATGGTGGGGTCGGCGTTACCTGGGCGGATTCGAAGATTACTTCATCATCTCCATCCATCGTCGTGGGAGTGAGCGGCGTCGGCGTTGCCTGATGCAGCGGTTCCGGCGACAATGGCTTGTTCACCGACATCGCCTCGAACAGGGACGTCACAGCGTTGTACTCTGCGCTCAGGGCTGGCAGCTGCTTCTTTGTGGGCGCGTCATTTGCCGTCAGCGATGCCGTCGGAGTCATGGGCCGCACTTGATCTTCCAGCAGTGAAGGAGTTGCGGAGGGCGGTGCGGTTAGTTTGTCGAGCGCCACCGCCACGCCGGCCGCCACGAGTATTTGCCGCAATGCCCCCTCCACCGAGGCGGCAGTGATCTCCTCGTTGATGCGGGTGAAGACCCGCGCCGCCGGGATCGTCGCGGCGGACCGGGCTTCATTCCCCTTTTCGACGCGAGGGCGTCGCAGCGGGAGGAGAGGCCCCTTGTTGCGTGGGGGCAAACTCGGCTGGATGACCCGCGCCGGTGCCATCATGACAGGGTTGAGGACCGCTGGGGGTGGGTTGCCCATGTCGCGGTCGTTGGCCCCGTCGTCCTTGCCGCCGCAGTTTGCTTGATGGCGTTGCCCGTCGCGTCTTCCCGTGTCGCCGCGATCGCGGGCACGCGGCGAGTGCGTGCGTTCCCGCCTGAAGTTGACGTCTGGGCCGCGAACGCCGCCCCTTCCGTGCGCGACATCACGTCCCCCGTTGTCGCGATCATCATTGTCGTCGTCGCGCCGTCCTCCACGTCGGAGGTCATCTGGGTGGTCGCTGTTATACCTCCTGTTGCGCCCGCGACGGTCATCGCGGTCATCCCGGCGCCTGTCGCGGTGCCCCTTCTCTTGCCTTCTTCCGCCGTCTCGGCCAATGGCGTCCCTCACCGTTCTGCTACCTTGGTCGCGAACCTCCCTCTGGAAGGCGGCGGTGTTGTTCTCCACGCCCTCCGCGCGACCTTGGCGGAAGGTGAAGGTCCGCGGCGGATGCGGGTGGTAGGGGAAGTTCTCGAAGAGGCGCGGCGGGGCTCGCTCGCCGTCAAGAACCCCTAGGTGCCACGGCGGCAGGGTGCGCGTCGCCGGCCTGCAGGACTTCGGGTTGCGGAGGTCGACAGCCGCCGCGGTGTAGTCGTGGATCTCCTCAATATGGAAGAGAACCGGGTGCTTGACCTCTTGTTGCCAATGCTCCGGCAGCGTCTCCGAGATCGTGATCGACTCGAGGAGTGGATCACGGGTTTGGCGCGTGATTGTCACCCACACGCGCTTGTGGATGCGGCTCGGGTTTGGAGTCCATGCCCAGAGCGAGATCACCCTCGTGTCGCCGGCGTCAACAGGGTGGACGAGGTCGGTTTCCACCGATTCTTAGGTGCATGTTCGGCTGCGCCATTGGATGAAGTAGACCTCAATACCTCGGCCCTTGGCGAAGCCCTGCTTTACCACCTCCTCGCAATGCCGGCGGTGCTTGAACTTGAGGAGGAAGGCCTCCGGATAGTGGAGTGACACAGCAAGCTCTCCTGCGCGTAGGCCGAACTCGTCGGCAATGACGCGCTCGACGTCTTTGGCAGTGGCAGACGCGGGGGGGGGGGGGGGGGGCATCGCCCAAGTGACCGTGGCCGTGCTCTCCCACTCGCACAGCTCTGCATCGATGGCATGCGACGTCGGGATAAAGACGACATCCTCGAGGGGGCGCGTCTCCGGGTCACCCAATTGCGCCATAACACCAGTGGGTGGCGGCGGCGGTGGCAGAAGCTCTGCTTCTCGGCAACTGTGGAGCAGGGGGAGGGGCGGCATGGGGGCGCGCTTGTCAGGCGCTCCCTGGCATTTCTTGCGTGGTGGAGGAGGATTCCGGCGGCGGTCACTCAAAGCATGTCGGCGGCGGGGGGATGGGAAACGGGATCTGCTTGTTCTTGGCGAGGCGCAAGTAGCTCTGGGCAGGCGCCGCGAGCGGTGTGTGGGACGCGGGGAGCGAGATCTGTCTGCTCTTGGTGTTCTTGGGAAAGCATGAGAAGCTTTTGCGTCCAGACGCAGCGGGCGGTAGGTGAGATGGGATGAATTGCAGTGGCGCGCTCGGTGCCCGGTGCGAAAACAGGTGAAACAGCGCGGGGGGTCGCGGCACGCCGATGCCCGGTGGTCGCGGGCTAGACAGACGAAGCAACGTCCCCTGGTTCTAGCCTTGAACTCCTCCAAGGAGAGGGCGGCTCTCCTTCCAGCGCCGTCTTCTCGCCTTGAATCGGGCCGTTGGCCATGGATTGAATGCCCTTTCTCTCTCCACCAGCGCCGAGGTTTGACCTCTGTCCATCCTGGCTCGGCCGGCGTGAATGCGGGGCGTGGCGTCGTACGCCTATGAGGGAGGATGTCCCTCCTCTCTCTCGGAGCCAGCTCGTAGGCGCGGCGGTAGGCGTCGCGTCGCGGCGAAGGCACAGTAAAGACGGACTTTAATGTGGGACGCGGCGGTGGTTGGGGAGCAAGCCGACTGGAGCTGGCTCCCGGAGACCTGCGTACCGCATCGACGAAGGAGCGTGGGGGCACTGTGGACTCGGAGACGTGGGTAGTGCTGTCTTGAGCCAGGCGGACACCGGACGCTGGTGGAGGAGGCGGTGGCGGCGAGATTTCCCAGAACATGCCGGCGCTCGGTCTTGGCGAACCGGAGGACAGTGCTGGGGCGGCCGACGGCCAGGAGGCCGCCGAGAGGGGCGTCGGGATCTGCGGGCGACGGAGGAGCATGGGCGCCACCGGCTGGGGCGCCGACGGCGGCGGAGGTGGAGTGCTCGCTAGCATTTCAAAAAAAACCCTTCTATCTTTCTTTTCATTTTAATTTGTAAGTGAATCATCCTGCCCCTTTTTCTCAATTGCAAGTACCAAATTAATTTCTTTTTCTCTTTGAAGTATATGTACTTTCAGAGTTGTAAGCAATCCGAATTACATGAAGACCTTGTTCTTTTCTTATTATGTATTCTGGATTTTTGTTTACACGCTTTGCAAGTTTTTCTAAACGGTATGTTTGTGTAAAAAAAAAATTCTAAAAATTTTATTAGAATACTATTTAAAACAACTTTGTTAACATAAGAATTCAGATTATATTACTCAATTTTAGTTATCAGATTAAAAGGAGTACTAAAAGAAATTAAGATTATTCATTAATTTTAGCTATCCTAAATGTACAACTAAGAGTGTTTGGTCCTGGCAACAACCAAACACGTAAGGAAGGAGGAGCAAAAGAGCACGCGAATCGTGCCTCTAGAAACCCAAAACAGCGAGCCTAATTTTAGCCGCTCCGGTCCCTTCTCCTGACGTTTTTTTAAAGAAAAGGATGAAAATTTAGAGAGAGTCTCCTGTCAAACTCACCCTTTTTTTATGCAAAAGGCCATCTAGAACTCTAATTATAAATCAATAAATTCGTCAAAGAAAATCAAAAATCAGAAACGAGAGCTTGAGCTGACCGACAAATTCATCCGAATCCAATAAATAAACTCGAGGCTATATATATACACACACGGACGAATCCCTTTCCATCCACCCGACCACACGCCGACGCCGACGCCGACGACCATGGCCGCCGCCACCTCCACCGCCGCCTACTGGCTCGCCGAGCACCCGGCAATCGTGTCCTTCAGGTGGAGCCCCACGGGGCTGTGGTTCTCCACCTGGGCCTTCCTCCTCGGCTTCCTCGCCTCCTACGTCGCGCTCTGCCTCGCCCTCGACGCCATCCTCGCCGCCCTTTTGCGCCGCCGGAGGCCGCTCCCGCTGGGGCCCTTGCCCGCGGCCCACGCGCTCCTGATGGCCGCCGTCTCCGCCGCCATCTTCGCCGGCACGCTGCTCTCCGCGCTCGCCGAGATACGCGACACGCGGTGGTCGTGGCGCGGACGGAGCCGCACCACCCCGTTCCGCTGGCTCCTCTGCTTCCCGCCGGGGACGCGCTCCTCCGGCCGCGTCTTCTTCTGGTCCTACGCATACTACCTCTCCCGCTACCTCCACGCCGCGCGGGGGCTCTTCGCCGTGCTGCAACGCCGTCGCGGCGCCGCGGCGAGGGTGTTCGCGCACGCGGCATCCGTCGCCATGGCCTTCCTCTGGCTCGAGTTCTCGCAGTCGTTCCAGGTGCTCGCCATCCTCGCCTCCACGCTCGCCCACGCCGTCGCCTTCGGGTTCCGCTTCTGGGTCGGCGCCGGCCTCCCCGCCGCCCGTGGCGCCCCCGTCGCGCTCGCCTGCCAGTGCGCGCTCCTCGGGTGCAACCTCCTCTGCCACGTCGGCGTCGTGTGGATGCACTTCGGCGGCGTCGCCGGCGGCGGGTGCAGCGGCATCGGCGCCTGGGTCTTCAACACCCTCCTCAACGCCGCGCTCCTCTGGGTCTTCTTGCATTGCTACGGCAAGCGCGGCGTCTGCGACGACGACGGCGGCGCCACCGCCGCCAGCGCGCGCCACGACAAGGACCTATGAGGTGAACCACCACCCACCATGCATCCTTGTAACATGTTCCTCACTACTCTACTACTTAGATTGTAAATAGGTGTGGCGTCCAAACGGGGATCGAAGAGATTAACATGACACAAAAAAAAAATCAACAAACAAAGATGGGATTGGTGTAGGAGCAATTCGATGATCCAATCCCTGCTTACTTCTACTTCTTAGTGCTATGTTGTTATTGTGTTGTTCATGTCAGTAAAAGAAGAAATTTTGCAAATCCTGGTGATTCTGGGTGATGATCCGAGGAGATTTCTCAACCTATACACGGTTTCTGCTTGTTAAGAAAAATATCTGGCCTTTATTATGGGCAAAACTGCTAGGACCTTTTCAGTTTGGTCCTGCGCATAGGCAAGCTTATTAAAATATATTAATCCAGTGATTTTTTTTGACATCAACTGATGAACAAACTTGAATTGACTTACCCAACATGTGGTCATATAATCTATACTACATTGGTATGCATGCATCTATTGAACAAGTCCTGAATTTCTAGTACTAATATATTGTTCAGTGCCATCACCTGCCTTGTCTTGCTCAGTTACAGGTGCAGACAGAACAAAAAAAACGATGTCTCTCTTCTTCAACCTCATTCCTTTTCTTTTCTTGCTAGTAGTTTACAATTAGCTCTGAATTTCTTACTAATTGTCTCTCTTCTTCAATCACATCCCTAGCATAGTGAGATCACAACCAATGGTCTTGCAGCTAGTTTACACCCACAGCAGTAGTCCTCATCTTCTTCTGCAAAATTCTTCAGTGAAAACTGAGGGTCGTTTTGAATTGGAGCCAAAACTTGCCCTACTGATATTTTGGTAGCTTAAATAGTGGATATGGTGGTTCTAGTTTGAAGCCAACTCATTGGCATTGCAAATGTCTAATTTGCCACTTTCTAGATTTTAGTCAACAGTTTTGGCTTTTCATTGGCATAAAAGCAAACACAACTTTATCATATAAACAAGTTGGCAAGGGTGAAACTTGTCCAGGTTTTAGCACCATCAACGTTTTAGTAGGATGCTAAACCAAAGAAGCCGTGAATATTGAAGATACGAGGATACTTGTACATGACAACTCTCTCAGGGATAAACAGAAAGGAAAATAAACATAAACAGACTAAAGTGAGGAATCTGTGCCTTCGCCTCGGTTTCAGTCTAAGCAAATTATAAGCTGCAGTGACCAAGAAAGGATCCTGCCAAGCTTTTCACCAGAATCAAGCCATCAACTACTCACATATAGTCACATACTCACATGACATGCATATGCTACTAGAATTTAGAACTAGTGGCACTGCAGTCCTGCTAATCAATGAGAGAACGAATCCTTGTTCCATCCCCTGCGCTTCACTGCTCGCGTGGCATTTGCACAAGAGAGATCGTGGCAACAGGTGGGCATACATACATATGTATGAGCTAGCTGATCAGCTCGGCTACAAGCAGCAGGGCAGCATGTTACATGTGTGGCTCAACAGAGGGGAGCAGATCAGGCAGTCGATCTGCAGCCTGCACTCTGCACTTCTGCAGTGCACAAATTGGGAGCCATCATCAAATGCAGGCTAGGAGGCTGCAAGCAAGTCCATGTCCTGCAACCTGTTCATCTGCTTGGTAGTATCTGAGCATTGTGAGAGAACTGGGACTCCCATCACTCCCAACTGTTGCTTCATGCCTTCATTGATTAAACACCATGAATTGAGCTGCAGCAACCAGCTGAGGAGCTGTCTTAATCGCTAGTACTTACGGAGTGGAGTACTTTATGTTTGAATTATTGGTTGGTTGTACTCCGATGTTTTGATCTCCTCCTGTCAGTTTCAGTTTGTGGGTCTACTAGTTCACAGTAAAAGTTGGTAGGGAAGTGGAGAGTTGTATGATAATTTCTGCAAGCAACAGTACAATTGGAATACTTACTTAGACATGTTGATGGATCAACAACAGAACAGTAGCAAATTGAGTGGTTGCTTTGTCAACAATAATACAGTAGTAAGGATTTTGCTAGTGGTGGGTGTTTTTGTTGAGACCAACAACCAGTCTGTCAACCTGTCATATATTGCTCCTAGTAGCAGTCGTTGTGCCGTGGCTGTGCCGGTGACGACGTCAAGGGTGGAGGGCTCCGGCCGGCCGTAGCTCACACGCCGGCGATGTCAAGTGCGACCACTCCAATTGTATCTGTGGTGGCGGCTGCCTTTTTCTTTGGTTGGGTGGTTTGGGCCTCTCTGCTCATGCTCAGCATGTGAACAACCATAGAATCTTCACATTGCAGCCTTGCAGCTTTGACTAGAAAAGGGCATTCATTTCCTTCAAAAAAAAAAGAAGAAAAGGGCATTCAAGCATTGAAGCTAGGGATGAAAACAGTTGGCCTATCTAGTTAATTTTATATGGGTGGTTCAATTCATATAAAATTTTTAAATACTCTAAATATAACCAAGCTATAAGTATAAATTAATCAAATGTGCGTTATAATATATTAATAAAGGAGCTTTTTTTTTCTTTTTTTAAAATTTCTTTTCGCATATGTATATATATGTATTGGGCTAGGATTTTTTTTTGTCACTGGATCACTGGGCCACCCCCTAGATCCGTCTATAGATGAAAATGGCCAAAAACTGTCAGAAAATGTTTAAACCATTTCCGTATTGTTTTTCTTTTCTTAAAAAAGGAATCGAAGCGAAAGAGCCAAAAATGATTAATGATAACGAAAAAATGAAATCACCGGAGATAAAATTACCGGAATAGAGCCTTGAAAACAATGTGTCACAAGGGAAAGCAAGTCACGACAATGTTTACTTTATATAGTAGCTCTTTTCAAAATGTATGACGCCGTTTACTTTTCGCACAAAGTTTGATCTTTTTTTTCAAAAATTTAGTATAAATATGTAAAAGTATAATTTAAGATTATATTTTATTTGATCATAAAACAAGTTAGAAAAAAATAAGGACTCATTTGGCTTAGAGGATTTTCATAGGATTATTGTAGGAATTCAAACCTTATGATTCTTTTCCTATATGCATCATTCATTTCATAGGAATGGATCCTATCAAATTCATAAGGATTGTAGCCTTAGGGCATTTACAATGGGCCTACGTGTCGTTCAGCCCGGTCAGTGCCAACGGAAAAATTGACACCACGTCGCCAAAGTGCGTTGCCTGGGCGAGTTCGCGGAGGCGGAGCCACAAGAGGGCACGCGTTCTCCGTGACGGTCGAGGGAGCGCAACGCAGGGAGAACGGCTGGGCGCTGCGTTGTGGTCTTGTGGAGCTTGCAACCTCGGTTGGGGAGGAGAAAGAGATTGGGAGATGAAAAGTGAAAAGATGTACATGTGGGACCCACTACTAAGTACTTGCACTGTGTAATATGAAGCTTGTCAGGTTCTTTGTCTACATAGCACATGAGAAACGGCAAAAATTATTTTATAGGATTCTTTGCATGATGTGAGACCTTTTAGAAAAATTCCTAAGGAATGGAGTGCATGTGACATCCTGATTCTTTGCTTTTACTATTCCTTTCATTTGAAAACTCTATGAACCGAACAAGCCCTAAATAATATTTATGTAACTGTTTTGAATAAAATAAATGGTCAAACGTTATGTTAAAAGTTAATGGCATCGTACATTTTGAATTGGAGGCGGTATATATTAACATCATATGTTCCTATTATAGTGAAGATTCAAAGCAGTAGGTAGTAACTTTTCAAACACATGATCGAAATAAAACGGCTGGTACAAGACGGAAACGATAGTCGATACGGTTGGGAAAGTCCATACCATTTTCATCCATAACCGATTAACCGCAACAGTGGATGGAGTATAAAAAATTTTATATATTACCGCTCAAAAAATTTCTGTGATGTGAGTATACATCGTATATATAATGTAGACATTTGAGTGAGAGACGTACAGTACGTACATCTATACGTAACTGATGAGAGTAGTAGTAGAAAAAAATTCTAGTAGCCGAGCAGCGTTGGCGGGAGCGCGAGCAGCGGCTGCAGCGCGCTTGGCGCCAACTTCCTCGCGAAGAGGAAGCACACCTCCGACGGCTGGCCGTTGTACAGGCACCTCTGCCCCGCCGCCGCCTTCCTCACCCACGCCTCGCCGACGTCCGCGCCGCCGAACGTCGCCGGGTGCGCGCCGCCGCGCGACCAGTCCACCCACGTCACGCTCCGGTTCGCGATCCGCCCCGCCGCCTCGATGGACAGCACCGTCGGCAGGTAGTGCTCGTCCACGTAGCACGGCGGCCGGCACAGCTCCCGGAACCTCGGGTAGTACCGCTCGTCGCCGACGACGAACACGGCCAGCGACCGGTCCACCTCGAACCACTGCGCGCCCTTGCGCCACTGCTCCGGCGACACCTCCGGCGCCAGCCCCGCCCTGTAGCGGCCGCGGCCGTGCGGGCCCGGGTCGTCGAAGGCGCCGACGAAGCTGTGGCGGGAGGCGGTCAGGTAGCCGTACACCGCCGGGAAGCCGTGCAGCGGCACGCACGACTCGGAGACGAGCACGAAGCGCTCGTTGCCGCCGTCCAGCAGCGCGTTCGCCAGCAGCCGCCGCTCCGCGTCGAACATGTTCGTCTGCCCCCATTGCGCCACCTGCACACCCATTTCAATTTCCAATCCATTTCATACACTCTTCAGGTTTGCTTCTGGAATTATTGTTTCAGAGATGCTGACGATGGATGAGAAAACGAGATGAAATTTGTTTCTAGCTAATTGTATGTAGCCTGTACAAGTGTGATTGAATATTCTTATTTTTTTTTGGGATTATTAAGGAGGGAGACTTTTACACCATGTCATTTTCACCCTTGCATTCGTGGCGCACTGCACTTGCCAAGATGCCACGGAAGCTGAACATTCATCTGGACACGAACCCGACTCAACGCTCTCCAAATTCCCCCCAATCTTTTAATTTAATTGAGAAATGAAAAAAATCATCTCGCATTTGAAACGGAAACTAATCAAATTTGATATGAGATTTGAGTTTGTAGTACCTGGCTGGGCACCTGGCGGCGGTAGAAGACGGAGGTTGTCGGGAAGTCGGGGTTGTATCCGGGCGTGGAGTGGACATAGATGGAGAAGAGCTCCCGGCCGCCGCTGCCATTGAAGAACCTCTCCCAGAGCGGCGCCAATGGCAGCGGCCCACGCGTGAGGAACATGAACGCCACCTTGGGCACCCGCCGGTACGGATACCGCCGCACCCGCGGCTCCATCGACGCCGCCCAGAGCAGCTCCTCGTCGCTCATGTTGTGCCAGGCGCTCGCCGCCGGTAGCCGCGTCCACCGCTCCAGCGCCGCCCGCCCGCCGTCCTCCTGCTGCTGCGCGCACCGCGGCTGCTGCTGCCACGCCGTTGCCGAGAGGACGTTGGGGACGTAGGAGGCGCCAGCGCCGCCGCCGAGGAGGAGGAGGGCGGCTGCGGCGGCGGCGAGGAAGCCGGTGGCGAGCACGGCGAAGATGAGGAACGGCTTGAGGAGCTTGAGGGGGAGGAGGCTCCTCGACGGCGGCCTCGCCATGTTGCCGAAGCTGTCCTTGCCATTGCCGCCGTTCACTGTCACCACCATCGCTACCCCTCCTTGCATGCTGTCCATGGCAACATCCAAGAACAAGACATCTTATTGAAAAATGAAAAATCCTACTAGTAAACAATATTATTGGCTCCAATCCTATCCTAAACAAAAATGCAAAAAAAATTAATGTATGTGTGGATCCGAGAAGCGGTTACGTCCAAGGAAGAGCGGTTTCTGCCCTTCGGTGAAATCGAAGCAGAGAAGAAATTAAAAAAATTACACGGTGATGAGTGGGTTAAAAAAAAAAGAATTTCTCTGGTGAAAATCACGGAGTCCGAGATTCCTGAATCGTGATTCCTTCACCGGGAGCCAAGAAACGCATAAAGATGAGAGACGAACTGAAAGCGAACAAGAGCAGCAAATCGCCGCAAAAAGGGAAACAAGAAGATACTCATACTCCTTGCCAATCTATCCATCAAATGAATCAAACTGAATGAACCAAAACCAAAACCAAGCAGAGCAGAGCTGATGAGAGAATAAGGACCTTTGATCACGAAGCTCGCCTTGGAGAAGCAGCAGCAGATCGATCGAGCAGAGGTTGAAGGCCTCTAGGTTAGGCTAGGGTAGCACGGTGGTGGTGATGATGAGAAGATCTTCCTCAATCGCCGAGCTGAAAAAATCGGAGTACTTGGGTGGTGGTACCATCTGGACATTTAGAGGAAAGCAGAGGAAAGAAGGAGATTAGAGAGGGAAGATTTGGCTTTTCAGCACGGCCATGGTTGAATTGTTGTTGCCTACGCCTACTTGGGGACAACTTTTTCAGTGCTCCCCCTCAAGACATTCGCAAATTCCACCGGATTCCTTTTCGATGATGCTTTTTCTAGGACTAAAAAATTTCCCTTTCTTTGTTTTCTGAAAACGTCAATTTCGAGTGAACTAAGATGTGTTTCACTTGCAATATTTTGGCTGTCCAGTTGGTTTCTGAAGCGTCAATTTCGAGTGAACTACGATGTGTTTCACTTGCAGTATTTTTTGGCTATCCATTTGGCCTTGACTTTGTTGCTTTGGTAGATGATTTGTTTGTGCACCATATGCACGTATATGTTATGTAACTTTCTACTGTTTTTAGAGTTCGTTTCATCGTAGATAGTGCGAAGAAAACATACTTTATTAGTAGCACGGATAGTACTTGAACTAACTATTTCTTAATTTTCTACAAGAGTTGCAGCTATATATTCACCAAAGAGCTCTCGAATTTGACAAAGCTCTTATGACCTGCCAAATAGAAAAGAAGTGCAAAGTGCACACCCACATGTGACTTGATGTACATGGCTATGTGCTTGTCAACCTCTGCTTTTACTTTGCCATCCAAAAGGATACACTAGTATAAGGCTGTGTTTAGATCTAAAGTTTGGATCCAAACTTCAGTCCTTTTCCATCACATCAACCTGTAATACACATATAACTTTTCAGTCACATCATCTCTAATTTCAACCAAAATCTAAACTTTGCGCTGAACTAAACACAGCCTAAGAAGAGAGGAAAAAAAGAATAAAGGGTGACTTGTATATAATTGAAGGGGAGGTGGGGGTGATATTGAGAAGAAGACCATGATTTCAGTTATCAGTTTGTGGGCTCCTCCTGTTCTTGCATGTCGTTGTTTGAGGTGGGCCCCACTAACCGTAGACTATACTAGTAGTAGATTACTCTGTCCCTGAAGGGAGATAGAGACTGATTGGGATTCATCTCCTGATCTCCTCCTTCCAGGAGACATCCAGGAACTGTACATACATCTTGTGGGAGTGATTAGAGAAAGGTATCAAAAGATTAAACTGTACAGTGCATTAGGAATAATTACTAGTCGTATGTGTAAGGAAATCGAGGTGAAAAAGGGAGAATATTTTGGACTGAAGAATAACATGCTGATAAGCAAAAGTGCAGCTAAATGAAATGAAGCTGAAAAAAAAAGAGAGAAAAAATTTGGACTGGGAAGAGTAATCTTCTGATAAACCAAAAAAAATGCAGTCAAAGGAAAGTAAGCCCAAAAATGAGATTTTTGTGAGATATTCTTTTAGGACTGTGAAGATAATCTGGTGATAAAAAAATGCAGCCAAAGGAAACTAAACTGGAAAAAAATAGAATTTTTCTTGGACTGTGAAGAACAATCAGGTGATAAACAAAATGCACCCAAAGGAAAGTAAGCTAAAAAGAGAGATTTTTTTTTGGGAAGAGACGAGAGACGACTGGAATTCTGGAAAGTCCAGGCCAAGCGCAAGTTTTGACATATTCAGAGCAGGACGACGGACTTGGATCATCTCACCATTCTAGCCTGCAGACAAGAAATTACAGAAAAAAAATTGATCAAATTTGACCGAATATCCGCGTACGTGCCGGATTGAACTGAACGTGTTGAGTTATACTCCCTCCGTTTCGAAATGTTTGACACCGTTGACCTTTTAGCACATGTTTAACCGTTCGTCTTATTAAAAACTTTTGTGAAATATATAAAATTATATGCCTACATAAAAATATATTTAACAATGAATCAAATGATAGAAAAAGAATTAATAATTACTTAAATTTTTTGAATAAGACGAACGGTCAAACATGTGCTAGAAAGTCAACGGCGTCAAACATTTCGAAACGGAGGGAGTACTAACTTGTACTCCCTCCATACTCGTAAAGGAAGTCGTTTAGGACAATGTTTAAGTCAAACCTTGGGAATATAAATCATGAATAACTCTTAAGTTGTTGAGATTGAAAATATAAAAATTATTTGAATAGATTTGTCTTGAAAAATACTTTCATAAAAGTATACATATATCACTTTTCAATGAATATTTTTATAGAAAAAAGAAGTTAAAGTTGTATTTTGGAGACCGTATCGATGTTCTAAATGACTTTCTTTGTGAGTATGGAGGGAGTATTACTATTAACTGTACGTCCGTGGTTAATTCGCCAATCAACTGAAATATAGTCAACCGGTCAATTAATTATCAAATTAAAGGCCCTGCAAATCTCATATGAAATTCCTTCGTTTCAGAATGATAACGAGACGTACAGAGAGAAATGGAATGTCCATAGCTGTGCGTGTGCCATCGTTGACTGGGCCGGCCGCTCGTGCGTGCTCAAGTACTCAACCTGAACCTGATTGTTAGTTATTCTTCTTCAGACATTCAGACAAGCTAACAGTAGAGAGAATAGTCTTGTGGTACGGTGGTTAGGCTGCGAGAAAACCTTGCTCGCTAGCTGCAGAAATAGTAGGTTGCGTATGAGATATTTGAATGCATGCATGAATGAATGAAACTAATATGCGTGCTTCTATTTCATGATTGTACGTATGCTAGCACGAGGGAAATGTAGAACAGTAGGAACAGTGGGAAAGAAAAAGAAATTAAAAATATACTTCTTTGTCACCGGTTTCACATGAATATATATGTTCTTTAGTCACAAAGTAAAAGGAGGCCCTTTTATACATGACTAAGGAAAAAAAGAGTTTCTACTGCACGTACCTGACTATTCAGTGACCTGGCGGCTATCTAGGTAGGACTTAAAATCCATCTAGTGGATAATTTTGCTATATATTTGTTAAGGCATGCCACGAGAGCCTTCGGCCGAACCTGCTAAAACCATTAAATCAACAAGCCACTGCATCAGGCGAAGCCAAAAGACGAAGTCAAGGGGGTTCGCCACCAAGTTTATCCTCTGGGCGAAGCCTCAAGGCGGAGCACGAAAGGTTCGCCCCATGGAAGACCGGCTTCGCCAGGGAGCCCGCCAAGCAGCACGGCCCATGGTGCCATTCGCCTATTATGGGCCAGGCCAGGGGCCTTTCAAGGGGAATATAGTTGGGATGGACACTACATGTCCCTCTAATATCCTTATCATAAGGGTATAATGTAAATTTCTCTGTACATATTGAACCCTAGTGGGTATAGGCATGTACTAAGACTATAAATATCCCCCTAGGGTTGTGTAAGGGGGATCCCTAAAAAATTTCATAAATTAATATGTTATTTATTGTTCAAATCACTCCACCGAGGGAACCACGTCCTTCGACGTGAAGCTCTTGTCATTTTGACAACAATATTTGTTAATAAATTTTGTCCAAGTAAATATCAAATATAAATACAATATAATTATACCGTAATTGCATTTGTAACTGGTATGTAACTATAATATAACTTTCATATAATTTCGAATGTTAGATTTGCTTCACAAATCATGCAAACTAGTAAGAAAAAAAAATTATGGCCACACGCATAGGTGAGGGGATTTGGTCCCGCCACCTTCACTTCGCGAAAATAGTGCGTTATCGTGTGATTTTTGAACGTTACTCTGTAACTACAATACTTTTTTCTGAACGAATCGACGCTTAGGTGCGCCCATTTTATATATTAGGATAGAGTTGAGAGCTACAGTATATGTGTTGGAACACTTTTTGGCTGCTCTTTTTTTATATCTTTTAGGTTGCTAGAAGTAACGAATTGTACTACGCTTATTTTTAAAAATATTTAGATATTTAAATAATGAATTAAACCAGCCACTACATCCTCAGGTAGTTTGTAAGTAGATAATGAAAAAGAAATGTTATACTCCTACATAAGAGGATGATATAAGGCAGGCAGAGCGTAGCCATCAACAAGGCCTTGCCCTTGCCCTTGTTGATCGGTAAGAGCGAGGTGGCCGCCCCAACTCAACTGCCTCATCATTCACATCACTTATTTTGCTTCTGCTATGCTACGCCATCGCCGCGGTGCATCCAATGCCAATGAGATGGAGATGGATACTAGATTTCATTTGATATAGAGAGAGAGCCGTGCATGGTTAGGAATGCAGCAGCAATGCAAGTGCAACACGCGCGATTAGCGAATGCCATCGCCATTGCCTGCCTGCCACCATTGACCGCCCGCCTCCACGTGTTGCCCCCCGCTCGCCGCCACTCCCGCCACTCCGCTTCCTCTCCCGCCACCTCTCCTCTTCATCTTCTTCTTCTAGAATCCAACCCCCTCCACACGCCCTCGCCCAACCCACCACTCTATATATCTCCTCCTCCTCCTCCCATCGCTCCTCTGCTCTGCCCTCTCTTCTTCTTCCTCCTCTCTCTCACTCTGCTTATCTTAGCTTCTTCTTCTTCTTCAATTCAATGGATATGCACGCTGCCGACGCGAGGCGGCCGGCGCACGAGGCGGCGCTCAGGGCGGTGCAGAAGCCGCCGGCCAAGCCGTGGCGAGCCTCTCCGTCGGCGGCGCCAGGCCCCGCGCCGCCCAAGGTGTACCGCGTCGAGCCCAGGGAGTTCAGGGACCTCGTGCAGAGGCTCACGGGCGCCCCCGCGCCGCCGCCGCCAAGGCAGCCCGTGGCGCCGGCGCAGCCCGTGCCCGTGCGCCCCGCCGTCGACGAGGCCCAGCTGTACGCGCCATGGTTCGGCTTCCCCATGCCCATGGCCGCCTCCCTCGACGCCGCCCACGGCGCCCTCATCTGAACCGCCCGCCACGGCTGCCATGGCCTAAGCTACATAGCTCGCCGGCGCAAAGGGAAAAAAAATTAGTTTAGTTTTGCTGTTCAATATCGATCGATCGGGACAAGTTAGTGTAATCAAGTGTAAGATGGTGATGCATGGCTTGATTGTTCGTGTTCAGTAGCCTATACAAATGTATAATTTCATACAGGATAGCAGTACAGTCAGGTTAGTACCACTAGTTGTTCTTCCTGTAATTGCAATAATAACAATTGTAGATCGAAGAAGCACCAACACTTTACTGATTTTCTAGCTGCCTGAGCAAGCAACGAACACACTCGCTGTCAGAGTGTTTGTGGCTTTGTGCTTATGATGAACACTGAACATATATTGGTCTGCATTAGTAATGAATAAAACTGTAGCATGTCTAACTTGAGGAGACTCTTAATCGTGTCCTGTTACTTCTTTCTCTTCTGCCAACATCTCGTTAATCTACCTGCTGGTTCTATATGAATGAATGCATGGAAATTCATTCCTCTTCTTCCATTCTCCAGTAAAGGGATAAGGGTTCGAGCTGCTAATCAACTCAATCAGTAGCCTGTTAACATTGATTCTTGCATGCTGATTACAGCAGCAGTACTTGCGAATGAAACGATGGGTGTTTTATTTTGGATTTTTTGGTTAGCACTGACTTGCAAAATGGGAGTGGATGAACAATGGCGTACTCTGCACTGTCTGCAGAAGCTGAGGCTGAAGCTAACTGAAAAGGTAGGGCGGTGAGGAATAATACTGTGTGTATGTTTGGAGGGGAGTCAAATATGTTGGCCGGCCGTTGGCGTTGGCGTTGGTTCAGTCAATTCAACGCAACTCTTGTGTTTCTGACCAAACAAGCGCGTGATCAGACTAGTATGTAGTATAAAGAGTTCATTCTTGGTCTATGATGTATGTATGGCCATGTTGTGTCACATTCAGATTACTATTGTACAATATGACTACCTCATTATTTAGTGGTATTTAGTGGTGTTCCATGTCATATCGGATGTTTAGACACTAATTTAGAAGGACTAAAATTTAGTCCGTGTCACATCGGATGTTTGGACACTAACTTAGAGTATTAAACGTAGACTAATGATAAAACCCATTTCATAACTCTGGACTAATTTATGAGATAAATCTATAGAGTATAATTAATCTATGATTATCCTATATAATACTGTAGTAAAAAATATGCTAATTATAAATTAATTAGGCCTAAATAACTTGTCTCACGAATTAGCTCTGCATAGCAGCCTACCGAGTTGGGTGGCTCTTGTGCCGTGCCATGACCGCCTGATCCGGCGGCCTACCTCCTTCCGCCGTTCATACGCTGCAACCATGTATGATCTCAACTTTCCTATGCTGTTGAATTGCGTGCCGCTGTTCACTTGAGACGTCATGTTGTCGAAACATGAATTCGGCAATAATAAAACGGGGTAGCGCACGAGACTTAAAAGTGGATGGATGTGGAGACAAAGGATTTAGACAGGTTCAGGCCCTCTCAATGAGAGGTAATACCCTACTCCTGTTTGGGGATTTGAATCCGCCGAGTGTGTATTGATCTGACGATCAGGTTGTCTCATCTGCCCCCTAGAGGGCCTCCTGCCCACCTTATATAGGATGGGGGGCAGGATTACGAGATAGAAACCTTAACCAATACGGTATCGGTTTCCTAAATCTACTTTACAATATTAGCCAACCAGGACTTTAGGCCGTTCCGTAATATACAAGGAAACGTAACACCCAAGTTATGATCTGTTACATATTACATACATATAAGTTATCCCCTATAACTAGTCAGATAACCATGCCGTGTGGGTATGGGGTACCCATAATCTCCACAGTAGCCCCTGAGACCTTCACAGTCAGAAAGATAATCTTCTCTCGAACTAGATTACTCCAAAGCCGAGTGCTTCAATCATCTTCGCCATGATCTCCCGAGTACTTTTTCTAAATCAGAAGACTGTGGAGGGCTGAAAAAATAAAGTCAGGTGCATCGACTAGATGCACCGAGTGGTTTCGATAATTGTAGTCAACCAAGCGACTTAATATTAATATGTAGCAGATGCGGTGTGAATCCCTGAATAATATGATCCAAGTGATATACCGACTGCTTTGTAAAATATGATGAGTGTAACCTAAAGTTGGCTACATCATTGAAAATTCACATAGCAAAATAGCTATAAAGAAGCTTGTATGTTGTGAATAAAGAAATTTTCAAAGTACTGGGCATACGCCATGCGCACACTGCTTTAACAGATGTGCTTAAGTCCCTAGAAGACACATGGTTCCACCACACCTGGAAATATATGGCATATGTGGTATAAAATCCGAGTAAATAAACTCATAAAGGATTTACCAACCGCCTGAAAAATGATCACAATATATAATCAGCCTAAGCCATAATATTGGTCAATAAAAATGCACACTTACGTGGCAAAAAGCAATAATATTGTATCCAATCAATTGCTTAAAAACCCAAACAGCACCTTGACTTATAAAAAAGTCAGCGGGACAGCTATATAAAGCTTTACTGTTTGACACCTTTTAAGATGCATTGTACCAACTCCTAAAAAGTTAAGTAACTGCGGTATAAAAGGATTTTAAGGTATTGGGCACTTGATCACGCGCACTTTGGCCTAAGCAAAAAGTGCCTAAGTCCCTAAAAGAACGTGACAGGCCACACCTGAAAATATGGGCTGCAGACATATTAGGCCTAGGCCAAAAAATATGCCTTCGACACCCTTTAAAGGATGACGCATGTAACATGCTCCCGAGTAATAAATCTTCCGGGTAATATAGACCAAGTGTAGCTCATATGAATAGCTTCTGATCTGAATGATTATCCCTTATGGGATACTCCAAAATAAATATAATAATTGAATCCCGAATGGCGCAAGTATTCGGTTGATAGCCCTTACGGGGAATAATAATTGGTCCAGTCGTTGAGCATAGAAAATAGACTCATAACTATGAATCCATGTGGAATGTATCCGGAACAAGTCCAAATTGGAGATATAATCCTCACGCTTGAGTTGATGAGCCCCTGAGCATATAGCTTGTCCTTCTATCATAGTCAAAATTGTCTATTGGCAATAGCTGACGCAGTCGGCATGGAGATGAAATGACCAACATGAAGACGAAATTGCTCATCAGAAGTAACGGAAGATGTCAGTGGTAGTAAAGATGCCACCAATCAAATGTAATGAAGTTGCATAACCATGGAGGCGAAGAAACCAGTCGGCAACAGTCAGGTCAGCTAGCAGTGAAGATGTAGGCGCCCAACAACAACGAAAGAACAGTCGGTGGTGACAAAATGTCACGCCCGGAAATTCACTAGTAATTTCCGAACTTATTTGTGCATAAAATCCTCGTCCAGGAATCAGCCGAGGTACACAAACTGACAATTTAATATACAGATTCATCAAATTAACTAAAACGATAAATACTTACTTATGAGGCACTTAGTCCTCATCATGAAGAAAACTGCAGCGGAAAATAAAATCTAGCGAAGCTCCGGCTCCACTCCCACAGGCAGCTCAACTGGGGTATAAGCCAAACGTCTTCTCCTTTGCAACTTGTCTTCAACTTGCAATAATCGGTCTTCAATTAATCTTCTTGAATACTTCCGGCGCACTCGCGAACCTTCGCAACGACGGAAACGACAAGGATGAAGACGTAGACGCGCATCAACGGTGATGGCGAAATCCACCAATCATGAAGATGAAGAAAATAATCGGCGGCGACAAACGCATCCGACGGTAATGATGATTAGCGGCAACAGAGATAGCCGACTATGATGACGAAGTTTCCCATCAACGGCAGCAGAGTAGGCTATGTTGATGAGGCTTGACAAGATGTTGATGAAGATGACGATGTCAGTGATCCAGTCAATAACGATGTAGCAGCCGATGATAACGATGAGATCCTCTATCGGCAGTTGCGTAGTAGGCCAACCGTGAAGACAAATAATTGGAGGAGAGTTGATGTTGTTGCCCAACTCGTCTAAACCGAAATATTTGAAGTTGTTGAAGTAGAATATCTGCTCCGAAGCAAAGATGAAGATAATGACTCCTGGAGTTGACTCGTTGGCTGATTAATTGATTGCTCCATCTTTGACATAAAGCTTGTCGAATTTTGAGCCATGTATTTGTGTAGCCCCCGACTCTTTGTTTAGTTGGGAAACAACTGAACATAGAGTCGAGAATTATAGCTTCTTATCGTCGAGTAGTCATTGCTTGATTGAAGATAAATGTTGAAGATGTCCAAGTAGAAATCCATGATGACAAAGTTGCATTGCCGTGATGAAGTGACAGAAGCAAACTGGTAGTGAAGACGCGCAGTTGTGAAGATAAAAGCACTAGTCGGCGGCAGCATAACCAGTCGGCGACGGAAGACGATGATGTTCATCAGTAGTGGTAGCTGTCTAAACCAGACGTAGAGGTGAGGGCACTAGTCAGCAGCAGACGTAGACAGCTTGTGTTGAAGATGATGATGCCTATTAGCGGTGACGGTGATGTAGCCAGCCGTGAAGAAGATAGCATCAATTGGCGTCATAACAGGCCAGCCGTGCAGGCGGTGACACCAGTCAGCGGCGGATGCGGCGGCCGGTCGGTGAAGATGTAGACGCCCAACAACGGCAGCATAATAGGCCAGCCGTGCAGGCGGAAACACCAGTCGGCGGCGGTCGAGGCGGCCGGTCGGTGAAGACGTAGACGCCCAACAGCGGCGGCATAAAGGCCAGCCGTGCAGGCGGAAGCACCAGTCGGCGGCGGACGAGGCGGCCGGTCGGTGAAGACGTAGACGCCCAACAACGGCAGCATAATAGGCCAGCCGTGCAGGCAGAAGCACCAGTCGGCGGCGGACGAGGCGGCCGGTCGGTGAAGACGTAGACGCCCAACAACGGCGGCATAAAGGCCAGCCGTGCAGGCGGAAACACCAGTCGGCAGCGGCGAAGGCAAGCCGGTCGGTAAAGACGTAGACGCCCAACAACGGCGGCATAAAGGCCAGCCGTGCAGGCGGAAACACCAGTCGGCGGCGGCGAAGGCAAGCCGGTCGGTGAAGACGTAGACGCCCAACAACGGCGGCATTAAAGGCCAGCCGTGCAGGCGGAAACACCAGTTGGCGGCGGCGAAGGCAAGCCGGTCGGTGAAGACGTAGACGCCCAACAACGGCGGCATAATAAGTCAGCCGTGCAGGCGGAAGCACCAGTCGGCGGCAGACGAGGCGGCCGGTTGGTGATGTTCTGACTGATCCATTCCTGGAGCGTAAGAGATAAGCTTAAAGCCATGAATCCCTTTTATGCATATCTGGATCTGGATCCTGCAGAACAAACATATAGGATGAGTAGTATCTGATATAAATATAATACTCGAGAAAAAATCAAGTATTTTAAAATATTGATAAATATGT